TAAAGAAGTAGACTGGGTACTTTAGATGTGGTACAGTTACGATAGTGGTTGCATACTTTTTGGTCCTAAGACTCTTTATACTCAAAAACTTTTAAAAATACCCTTGCATAGAGTTTTTATTTATGTAGGCTATATCTATTGATATATATGAATATAATTGATATTGATAAAATATCTTATTATTATAAAAAATAGTTTTGATGTTGTAGACCTGAAAGGATCTCACTGTACCCTCCCCCACAGGTCCCCAAACCACACTTTGAGAATTGCAGTAGTAGGAAATAGGGAAATATTAAAGGTATTTGAAAAGTTGAATAATATTGTGAAAACAATGTCTAAGGCAGATCAAACAATAAAACTCTAAAAAGCAAGGTTTTTTGCCTGGAATTGCCTAAATAATGTCTTTAACTCCTATATATACAAAATTTTCCATATGAAGACCGGTCATGGTCTTTCATTTCCTTTTTCTTCAGTTTACTTATTCAAAATGGATAAGTACTAAAAACTACTCGCTCCACTAATCTTAACCCCTTGCCATGTTGTTCACAGCATAACATATTGTCCTATGGTCTGAGTCTTGTATACACTGAATGGTTTATCAATGATTAATTTTAGAAAAGGCTTCAGGTAAACCTGGACCTTTCAAATTCTTTTCATCCATGTATCCTGGAGAGGTTTTTGTAGTTAATGAAAAAAAAAATTTTGGCTCAGGTTAGCACAAATGAGTCATTGTTCCATGCCCTGTAGCAATAGAAGAAAAATAGTACTATGGGCTTCTCTTAAATTTTTATTCAGAAACTAAGTATTAAAAGCACCAGCACCAATCCTTACCAGAAATTGAGAGTACTACCACAGTATTTGATAATAGACCCACAATTTTTTTTCCTGTCACAGCTTTTGGAAGGAATATCTTAATGGCTGAAATATGCTGAATTAATTAGATCATCAGTACAGTCAGTCCAATATATTCGCTACCATTTACAGGTTTTGCAAAATGCTTCACAATGATCTCTCTTTATCCTCACAATAACCCTATCACTATTTTACTGATGAGAGAACTGAATCTGAAAGAGGTCAAGTGACTTGCCCAGGGTCACACAATGACTAAATATCTGAGGCCAGATATAAACTCAAGTCTTCTTGACTCCAAGTCCAATATTTTATCCAGTAGGCACCTAAGTTGCCCCTGTTATTGTGATAGCCAAACACAACTAACTGAATATTTATGGGTAGAGAGGAGTGTTTTTGTCATATGGATATGGCCTGTGGCTCTTGGTTTTTTCCAGAGGAACATTATAGTTCTTTATTTTCTACCCATGGAAATAAAGAGATGTTCCATTCATACAGTCAACTCACAAGGTTGATGGAGTCAGGGATCTGTTGCTCTTTGCTTTTTGCAAATGTGCTTAGGGGCACACTATTTCTGATCTGCTTTTTTTCTAATGAATCTACAACCAGAACTTCTGCTACTAGACAGGATCAGAACATTAACTTCTGCCTCAAGGCAGGAAAATGTGGAAGAGAACAGAATTAGCAAAACAAAAACAAAAACATAAAACAGTCTTCATCATTATGTAAGCCATTGAAGCAATCATATGAATTATACATTTTGAAATAATTTTTTTAAAAATTGCTTAAAACACTGAGGAAGATGAGGAACTAAGTGCTGTTTATAGCTCATAATGAGTCCTGGACAAAGCAAAAAACCCAAATAAACTTCAGTTATAAGGGACATTGCCACATAGCAACCCCAACTAGCATTTGATTTGCAAATAAGGATCTCAAAATTTAATTCCTATTGGACATCTCCCGGTTGACTTTGTATCCTTAAGAAGTCATTTTGTTTTCTTTTCTAGACAAGTAGAATGGGTTTTGTTCAGATGCCCAGGAACCCTCTCTAACTCCGTGTTCTCACTCCATTCCTTTCTATCCAGGAAATCCCCTCCTGAAACAAAAACCCTGAAGAAAACTCAGCTGTCCACTATTGGAACTAGTTTTACCTGATAAAAGTCCGCTTTGGTTTTCATCAATGTTCTTTCTATACTGATATATGTTATGTGGAGAACACTAGCAAGCAGACAACAAATTCTACTTCTTATATATATAACAATATCCATATAGAGGATAGAGCTCTATGGCAAGGCTGGTGGCTTTGAGGGCTCCAGGCTTCTACCCTTCTGGAGTCTACAGTCTAGTAGGGGAATAAAGCATTCATCTAGCCTCACTTTACCGAAATGGATGACATCTGAAATGCATAGTCACTACCACACTTTCCCCATTGCCTCACTCACAACATGTTAGCCTATTATCACATCAAAACTACATCCATCAATGAACAAACTGGAAAGGGGATAAACATTTATATAACACCTACTATGTGCCAGGTACTGTGCTAAGTGCTTTATAAATACAATCTCATTTGATTTTCACAACAACCCTGTGAGGTGCTATTATCCCTATTTTATAATTGAGGAAACTGAGGCAAACAGAAGTTAAGTGACTTTTTCAAGATCACACAATAAGTGTCTGAAGTAAAATTTGAACTCAGATCTTCTTTACTCCAGTCTCAGGGCTCTAGAGATTCCACTGTGCTACCAGCTGCAAATTGCTTCCAGATGTTCTTAAGTACATCCTATAGAACTCCAATTAAGCATCACAATTATGGCCACTCTCAATGGCAGGAGATTCAGAGAAAATTTCACAGAAGACTTCCCATGGGTGGTGCAACATCTACATCTGTCTTCTTCATTCAGGTCTACAGTGTAGCCAGCTCCAAGCCAATTTATTACAATGAAGATTAATAACTGCATAATGCTTGGGAATGTGCAGTGAATGTACAAATGATAAGAAAGCACAAGTCATCTTGTATATCTATTTGTCTATATTGTATGATCTGCATTTTCCCCTTTACTGTTTTTCTTATAGGATAACGGTTTCTGCCATGTGCTTTATGGATTTCAGCCGGTTTCCTCTTGACACTCAAAACTGTTCTCTTGAACTAGAAAGCTGTAAGTCTTACTGTTTGGGTAAATATGTCTATGTGCTCTGTACTTAGAGCATACGCTGGTAAGGGAGCATATCATTATTAACCATATTGGATCACTTGATGCAGGTTAAATGTATTTATTTTTTAAACAGTGTTATTTAGCTACAAAGGTAGATAGTAGTCTTTTTCATGCACTACTTTCAGAAAGGAATATTTTAACATAATTGTAGATTTTTCAGGTTTTTTAATTATATCTTATGTGATTTTTCCAAATTATAGAGTTTCCAAAATGGTATTTAACCCAGTTAAGGAAAGAGAATCTTATGTCTAAATATCATCATCATCATCCTATTCCTACTTAACACTTAATGAGTTTAGGAGTTGAATTGAATCAGTTGAATATGAATCAATAACTTTTATTAAGTCCTGGCCTAAAAATAGTGCATTTAGTCACTAATCCTGCATTAGAGTCACAGAATCCCAGTTGCAGAGCTGGGAGGGACCTTCAAAGCCATCTAGTTCAATCCCCTCATTATCAGATGATAAACTGAGGCCTAAAGAGATTAGGTAACTTATTCAAGGTTATACAGATTTTAAGTGACATACCTAGGTTTGGAATCCAGGTTCTCTGATCCCAAATCCAATGTGTCTATTCACTGTACAATGTTGCCTCTCCACACGGCATGTGCCTGGGACCTATTAAAAAAAAATTTATCAGATCCCAGAAAGACAAAGCCACAGAAACAAATGTTTAAGAATCCATCTGACTGTGCAACCTGCCCATAACCTTGACCAATTAGCAGTTATGACTTCAACTTGAAGTCCAACTTCAAGTATTTTCATAATGTCTACACAAACATACTCTTGGATAAACATTTCATTTTTAATTAAATTTTAATTTTGTTAATTTACAATAATTTATTTTCTCTCCTCCCCTAGTCCCACCCCATTGGGGAAAAAGGAAAAATATGTTACTTGTAACAAATCCACGAAGTCAAGCAAACAATTTCCCTCATCGGTCCTGTTCAAAAAAATAAGTCTCATTGCCTGAATCTATCACTTCTCTACTATCTTCTTATGAAACCCCTGTTGTATCATTACTTAGTCATCATTCAAGGCATAAATTGGATAGTCAGTGACAACCTGAGTTAGTCCTGTATTTGCGACAGCACCAGATTGGCAAGGACTCATACTTCAGGTGTTCATGAACTTACTAAAGTCTTTACATATTTGAAAAGGAATTATTTTTCATTGTTCCTATTTAAAACATATTATGAGCAAGGGAATATGGTATAATGGATCTTGAGAGACCTGGCCTTGAGGTCAGGAAGTCCTGGGTTCAAGTACTGATTCTGACACATACCACTTGTATGTTATTCTAGGCAAATCACTCACCCTCTCGTTGCCCCAGATTATGTTTCTAGGAAGGTGTGAGGTGTGCATTGGTAAGCAGTTTTCCTTACCTGAGAATTCCCCACATCGGTGAAATTACAGATCCAGTCCCTATCCCTCCACCATTGTTACTATTGCTCAGACGCCATCTCTTGCTGTAAGCAAGGCCTTTCCTGGTACCTCCATCCACCCATGTTGTTGGTATTCTCCCCCTCCCGAAATTACTTTATACATACTTTGTACGTGCTCTATCCCTGCTAGTAGACTGTAAGGTCCTTGAGAGCAGGTAATGTTTCATTTTTGTTTTTGTATTGCCAGAGCCTAAAACTGTACCTCATGTGTAGTAGTCACTTCATAAATGTTTTTTGGTGTCATTGTTGAGTCATTTCAGTTGTGTCCAACTCTTTGTGACCCCATTTGGAGCTTCTGGCAGAGATACTGAAGTGTTTTGCCACTTCCTTCTTCAGCTCATTTTATAGTTGAGGCAACTGAGGGGAAAAGGGTTAAGTGATGTGCCAAGGGTCACAAAGCCAATAAATGTCTGGGCTAGATTTGAACTCAAGTCTACCTGACTCCAGGCCCAGTGTTCTAACCACTGTACCACCTAGCTGCCCACATAAATGTTTGCTAACATTAAATCAATGAATCAAAGAGATTAAATTGTCTCAGGTATTCTATAAATACCTTTTGATGGTTTTAATTTAAATTCTGGCTACCTAGGAACATATCCCCAATACACAACATTTTTTCCTATGGAATTAATTGCCTCCTATAAAGTTGCTTTCTTTAAAGAGTAATAATAACCAATTAAGTATTTGATTTAGGGTACATTGAAACATCTCAGTGAAGCTTAGTATGCTACCTGTTACCTGATAATACATGGAACTGTACAGGTCAAAAGGCATGATGTGTGTCCAAGATTTGTTTGTAAATTCCAATCTTATTCCATTTTTTTCACTTTCTTTCTTATGAAGATTTGCAGTTATTAATAAAATACCACAAAAACATCTTTGGAAGATACACTTGCTCTGTGACAGAGTCCTGGGTTTGTAGTTCAAGAACTTGGCTTCAAATTCCTGCTCTCCCACTTAATTATCTAATAGGACTTTGAGCAAATCATTTCACCTCTGTGGGCCTCAGTTTCCTCATTTGTCAAATAAAGGATGATAGGACTAGATGGTCTTAAGGTCTCTTCTAACTCTAGATTTATGAACTATGATATAATATAGTCCTATGATTGATGACCTTTAAGGTCATTTCCAGCTCTAAATCTATGGTCCTACAATTACAGATCCCTCCACCAATCCTGTGGTATTTACATGAATCCTAAGGCCTTCATTCTAGTGAAGCTCTAACACGTAAAGGAGTGAGCACGGATCTAGAGGCAACCATATTGAAATAACCTTAACTATGCTAAGCTTGCAAAAACTGTCCATTGAACACCATCCATGCTAATATAATCATTGAAAAACCTAGATTCCTTTTGGACATGAAGACTGATCAGACAAGAAATATTTATTGAGTACCCACCCTGTACAAGGTTCTGTGTTAGGTGCTGAAAGTTTTATGAGGCTCTGGATCAGTCCTCAAATAGTTACAATCTAGTTATAAGGATTTTCTTTTTTTTTCTTTCAGATGCATATAATGAGGAAGATTTGATGTTGTACTGGAAACATGGAAATAAGTCCTTAAACACAGATGAACATATTTCCCTTTCTCAGTTCTTTATTGAAGAGTTCAGTGCATCTAGTGGATTAGCCTTCTACAGTAGCACTGGTATAGTATGTTACTTAACCTACTAAGAAGCATTTATTAAACACCTACTATGCCCTGCATATCTACCAGTTTAAACTCAGTATTTATATCTAGTTAGCCAACTGACATATAGCAGTAATAAAGTTGCTAATCTATCATTGGCCAAATTAAATGATTTATCCAAAATTTTGCTCTGTGCTACATATTTTTACTGTTTATTAGTAGGAGAATATGCTTTTTAGTTTCAAGTTTATCTAAGGATCTCAAGGCATTTCACTGAGTTACACACAATTCTTACATCTGTTAGGACATTAACTATCCCCCTCTTGGAACAAAGAGGAATGCCTGTATTGTTGCTGATCCTCAAGAGCCTACATACTCATCACCAAGAATCACCAAATCTTGGAATTGGAAGGGACCTCCAATCCATATCTGAACAAGAATCCCTCTGCATTGATGGAGTCAAACTCAAATAGCAACAGATTCCTGTGAGCCACATGTTGACACAGAAAAACTACAAATTAACATTACCTGTGTTTCATTGTATTCATGTTTATTTTGTTAAACATTTGCCAATTGCATTTTAATCTGGAAGTCCTTTGGAGTTTTGCAGCCACAGGTCCTACAACTCTGCTCTACATCATTTGTTGTTCAGTGTTGTGACCCAGTGAACCATAGCACTCCAATACTTTCCATAGGGTTTTCTTGGCAAGGATACTAGAGTGGTTTGCCATTTCTTTCTCCAGAAGATTAAGGCAAACAGGTTAAATGACTTGCCCAGGATCACACAGCTAGTAAATGTCTGAGGCCAGATTTGAGTTCAGATCTTCCTTTCTCCAGGGGGCAGCTAATCAGTGGATAGAGTACCAGGCCTGGAGTCAGGAAGACCTGAGTTCAGATCACACTTCAGACACTAGCTGTGTGATCCTCGGCAAGTCACTTAACCCTGTATGCCTCAGTTTCCTCAACCATAAAATAAACTAGAGAAGGAAATGGCAAACCACTTTAGTATCTTTGCAAAAAAAAATGGGGTCACAAAAAGAGTCAGACACAACAGAGTAACTTCTTGACTCCAGTTCTATCCACTGAGCCATCTACCTGCCTCTAAGTCATACCTAACAACTAGTCATCAAATGTCTTCTTAAAGGTGCCCGAGAAAGAAAACCACTAACTCCTGAGGCAGCCCAATTAGATTTTGGACAGTTTTTATTAGGTTGTTTATTAGGATGCTAGGTGAGAGACAGCACAATGTGGTAGATAAAAAGCCAGCCTTGGAACTAGTTTCAATCCCTACCTCTGACTTAGATTTACTGTGTGAGCATAGCGAAGTCACTTGATCTATGAGAGTGCCCCTGGCAATCTTCTAAGACTCTAGAACAGCTGCAGATCTGTCTGTGTATATGCAGCTTCCTCACTGGAAATTTCCTCCACCATTAAAATCATGGGCTCAGCCCTGACCCTTTACAAAAAAGTTGTTAGAGTGACAGTGATTGAGGATTGGAGTTGCCTGCTTTAGAAGAAAAGCTAACTACTTCTTCTTGAGTGGCCTCCACCCTTGTGGAGACAGCTACTCTTTCTTTTTTTTTTAAGCTTTTATTTAGCATTTTATTTTTCCCCAGTTACATGTAAAAACAATTTTTAACATTCATCTTTAAACTTTGAGTTCCAAATTCTCTCCCTTCCTCCCCACCCTACCCCCATTGAGAAGGCAAGCAATTACATATAGGTTATACATGTGTAGTTATGCAAAACATATTCATAATAGTCAGGTTGTGAAAGAAAACAGACAAGAAAAAAAGCTCAAGAAAAATAAAGTTAAAAAAAGTATGCTTCAATCTGTATTCAGACACCATAAGTTCTTTCTCTGGGGATAGATAACATTTTTTGTCATAAGTCCTTCAGAGTTGTTTTGGATCATTGTATTGCTGAGAATAGCTGATCATCTTACAATATTGCTGTTACTTTGTACACAGTACATTTCATTCTGCATTAGCCCATGCAAGTCTTTCCAGGTTTTTCTGAGAGCATCCTGCTCATCATTTCTTATAGTATAATAGTATTCCATCACAATCACATACCACAACTTGTTCAGCCATTCCCCAGTTGATGGGCATCCCTTCAACTTCTAATTCTTTACCCCTAGAAAAAAACTGCTATAAATATTTTTGTACGTATAAGCCCTTTTACTTTTTTTAATCTCTTTTGGGATACAGACCTAGTAGTGGTATTGCTAAGTCAAAGGGTATGCATGATTTTATAGCCCTTTGAGCATATTTCCAAATTGCTCTACATAATGGTTAAATCAATTCACAACTCCACCAATAGTACATTAAAGTCTCATTTCTCCCACATTCCCTCCAACATTTGTCATTTACCTTTACTGTTTTATTAGCCAATCTAATAGGTACGAGGTAGTACATCAAAATTGTTTTAATTTTCCTTTCTCCAATCAATAGTGAGTTAGAGCATTTTTTCATATGGCTATAGATAGTACAGCTGGTCTTTCAAGGCATCTCCGTGAGCATGACTTTCCCTTTGTCAAGGCCCTCATTCCAACCATAAGAATGAAATTGTAGGTGGGTGGAATACTGAATAATGAAAGAATAGGCAGGCAATTTGATTGCCTGAGACCACTAAGGCCTCTGAGGGAAACAATTCCAACTCTCTACTTACTACTACTCTCTACTTACTATTACTACGAAAAATAAAGATAAGAATAATAGGCTAATATTTATATAGTGCTTTAAGGTTAACAAAGTACATTATATATATATATATATATATATATACATATATATATATGTATATATATATACATATATATATATATATTTCTATCTTAATTAACAACTCTTCTTCCTTATAATACCAATGCTTAGCTCATTCTTTGTCCATGACATCCATGACAGTTCAGATTCACATGGCTTGATGTCTGCCTGCTTTGAAGTATTTAAAACACATTTTAAAAATCTCTTTGCTTTGTTTTGAGGCCCTAGAAGGGGGAATACTCCCCCTTCTCTATGAAGCGGACCATAACCTTTCCTTGAGTATACAAAATGCAGGCCAATAATGCCTTGGATTTATTTTAGTTCTGGTTTCTGAAATATAGGTAAACAACAATGTAAAATATCAACTTTAATGAAACAAAGATGGGCTTTAGAATTGCTACACACTTTGAGCAGGGCAGAGTGTAGAAAATTAAAAAAAGGAAATGGAAAGATTTTGGTGTTGTTCTTAGCCAACCCAGAGCCACTGCTTTCCTACAAAGCTTTGTGTGTCTTCTGCATAGCAGTAGCAACAACAGCTGTGACAACACCATTCTTTAAAGCAGTAATTCTCAAACTCTTCTACATAAGAACCTTTTAGTTCAACCAGAACCTTGGTAGAACCTTTGTAGCAATATCATCTAAAATCATTTGTACTGCCTATTAATAAATAGCATAAAGTTCATTAAAAAAAAAGCCTTGGGGTGTTTCAGAGTTCCTTGCAGCATAGTTTGAGAAACATAGCTCTAGAACTCCTCCCATTTTTCTCTGTTCCATCCTCTCCCAAGTGTTTTACCCACATGTCACTCTTCATGAGAATTTGGGATGCACACATCCCTCCACCTAGGATGAAGAGAGATAGTCTTTGTGTTTTCTGGTACAAACATGGGACCATAATACTCAGGGGCTCACATAGACAAGAATGGAACTTTACATGCACTTACAGTGGTGACACTGATCTCCAATGTCCCAGTACCTCTGGCAGTTAAGTAGTTTCTCTTTCCATCCATTGATCCCAGTTTAGATAAGTCAGACAAGTCTAACAAATATCTCTTCCAAGTGACAGCCATACAAGTATTTGAGTATGTTCCTCCTAAATCTTCCCTTTACCAAGATGGATATCTGCTCAGTTCCTTCAACCAATCCAAATGTAGCCTGAGCTCAAGTCCATCACACTATCCTGGTTGCCCTTTGCTGTGTAGTTCCTACTTATAAATATTCTTCTTCCTAAAATTTAGCACCCAACGGGCAGCTAGGTGGTGCAGTGGATAGAGCTCCAGCCTTGGAGTCAGGAGGACCTGAGTTCAAATCTGGCCTCAGACACTTGACACTTAACTAGCTGTGTGACCCTGGGCGAGAGACTTAACCCCGATTGCCTCACCCAAAAATCAAAAAACCCAAACAACTAAAATTTAGCACCCAGAGATGAATATGATACTCCAGATGTCTCACCAGGACAGAATACAATAGATGTATCATCTCCAATCATATGAACATTATTATATCTCCTGTAATTCTGCCAAAGATTTCTTGGCTGCCATATCAAACTATTGACTCATTATTGAGCTTACATTGCACTAACATGTTAAGCTCTTTTCCAGATTATATACTTTCTAACCACCCCTCATCTATCTTGTATTTGCGAAGCTGATTTTTTGAAATGAATTCTAAGATGTTCATTACATTCAGACCAAGGTTGATTGAGATCTTTTTGAGTTTGACAGTGTCAGCTGACATGCCAGCTATCCCTCCCAGTTTGAGTCATCTGCAAAAATTTAATGAGTGTGATATCTATGTGTTCATCCAAGCCACTGAAAAATATATTAATTGTCAGAGAGTCAAGTACAGATGCTTGGGGACACTCCATTGTAGATATCCTTCCAAGGATATCAAACCTGTAGTAAATCTTCTTGTGGCCTAGTCATCAGTTCCAAATAACAGACTAGATGTTAATATGTGGATTTCTAAGTCAATATGTGGAAGCAGTGATCCTTACATATGGTTTGGTTGCCTCTTTCTATTTGCTGTAAGTATAGAACAAATGTCCTCCAAATCTAGCCTAAAGATCCCCTCTAGGAACTGACAGAAGAAAGAATTTAGCCTCCAGTTCCCAACCTTCAAGCTACGTTATGCCAGTTATACAACATTCTCTTTACCTGCCCTAGCCTGCCATATTGAACTTAGTCAGCCGTGGTATTTCATTTTGTATTTTCCATTTTTCTGGCCATGAATTTGAATCTTTCTATAGCCAGAGACTCTCTTTAACAAGTTTATGTCTCATTAAAAGATATGTTTTAGTTATTTCAAAGTGAACTTCAAATTCTTAGCATTAAAAAAGAAAAAAAATGTAACTTCTAATAAAAATGGAGAAAAATGTTTTTTAAAAGATTCTTCATATTTCTGAGAGCTTTGGTAGTTCCAATAAGAAAAAGAAAGAAATTTCCTTTGCTTTTGGTCCAGAGCTGTGATTTTACTGGTATATAGAGTTTCCAATGAAGAAACCTGTACCAAAGCAGATAGGCATCTTTTGCAATTTCTGCTCTTAGATGAGCAGTCCTCTTAGAGCGGTTGTGACTTTCCCCAGGGTCAGACAGCAAGTTAGTGTCTGAAGTGTGATTTAAGTCATGTCTTTATGATTCCTAATCCATAGTCAATCTATTCCTGCTGTCTCTATAATTGATAGGTTAGTATAGTTTGAAACATCACTTGGACTTCATTTATAAAATGTAAGAGAAAAGTATTTTGTAGTATTTTTGGTTTTGTATCAATAGCAACCACTGCTGGATTTGTTTGACCATTCTCTAAAATTAATATTTTTTTTAAAAAAAAAGAAAGGCTAACATTCAAAAATTTCTAGATGTCCCTGCCTCAGGTGTGTATTTTCCCCATTCCACACAACAGACAAATGATTAAATATTTGTATTCCAAGAGAGTATTTTCCCTGATCTGTTCCTACTACAGCATCCTATTAAAGGAAGTCTCCCATCTACACATCAAAATTATTCAAGATTGGATAATTAAAAGATGTAACAACAAATGTAATCTTATTTGAGAAGCTTAAAACAAAGCTATATGCTCACACAAAGAGTTGGCCATTGTCGTGGAGGAGATCAAGCAGAGTGTTCCAATCTTGCCTCAAGTACTATTTGTGTGACTTTGGGCAAGTTATTTAACCTCCTTGGATCTCAGTCTCTTTGTATATAAAATAAGGGGGGGTTGAACAAGATGGCCTTTGAGGTTCCTTCCAACTCTAAATCTATCACTCTAGAATTGTATGATCCCTACAGATGTTGAGGTCCTTCAGTTGCTCCTATTTGTCGATGACATTAAGCGTTTGAGCATTGTAGAACCTCTTATAAGATATATGTCACTATACTAGAGAGTTTAGACTACCACCCATATTGGAAAAAATCAAGTAGACAAAGAGTATCTATCATCCATATTATGGAACACATGCATGGTAGATGGACACCCCATAGACCTTATCTCTGTATCTACATCTTCAACAGTCAGTACAAATTGACAATGAGCTGACCCTAGAATTAAACAGAAGAGAACAGGATGGATTAACCTTGGGAAATTTCAGAGCTCTTTTAATAATTCTAAATTTCTTCCATCTATTTAGTACTAATGGTGAAGCAATTACCTAGAGAGGCAAAATAAAGCAGGATAGGATTATTTGCTGCAAGTCAGATTTCAAAGAGTTGAAGAGAAAGTATAGGGTAATGAAGTGGAGACATTGGGTATAAACTACTTGATTATGAAAGAAGATAAAAGAGAATATGGAGGGCATGGAAAGATAGAGGAAAGTCTTTAGGACTTGGGAGACATGAACCTATTTGTAGACAGATAGGAAGGTAATCGTAGTAGTAGTAAGAGAGAGATAGAAAATGCATGATAAAGGTTTATTGTTAAAACCAGGTGCAGGGAGGTACAGTAGTAGAAAGGGATAGGATCACAGATCCCTGTAAGAAAATTAAGCTTGTAGGGACAATTTTTCTTCTGGGACAGAAGGGAAGGAAGAGAGATTGATGATGCTAAGACATTTTTAGGAATAGAGATAAACTGAGGGAACTATAATCATATGGCTTCAAGTTTTTCAATGAAGAAGGAGAGGAAGGGAATGAGCATTTATATAGCACTTACTATTGCTATACACTGTGATAAGGACTTTTTACAAATATTATCTCATTTGACAGATGAAGAAACCATAGCTATAAGCAGGAGGGTGTAGGTCGTTTTTGAAGGCTTTAAGCCTTTCTTTAAGAAAAAGCCAAACAGTTGTCATGATTGCTGTGAAGCAATTACCTAGAGAGGCAAAATAAAGCAGGATAGGATTACCAAGAAGCAATGAAGGCCCAGAAGAAGTTATGTTAACTTTGGAAATTACCACTACACCTAGACTCACCATGAATCCTTTCACTTCGACCAAGCCAGCATGTAGTATAATGCCTGGCACATAGTAGGCAATATTATTATTATTATTGACTGAGTGACCAACTGAAATATTTGGATCACATTCATTGAGTCTGATTCAATCATTTAACAATTTTTGACTGATATATAAAACATCATGCTAAGAACTGTTGGGAGAATACAATGAAGAGAATGGGGAAAGGGAATAAGCATTTATTAAGCATCTATTATGTGCCAGGCACTGTGCTAACTACTTTACAAATATTGCCTCACTTGACAGAGTTCCTGCCTTCAATCAACAAGCACTTAATAAGAGCCCACCATGTTGCAGGCACTCTGCTAGGTGCTAGGCCTACAAACAAAAAGAATGAAGCATATATATGCACATATGGCTCTAACTCCCAAAGTGAAACATGGAAATACCATAAGAGGGGTACAAAGTGCAGCCACCATTCAGAGATGGCAAAGATTACTAACTACTAACAACAGAGAGGGAAAATTTAGCTAGGCGTTGAAGGACAGGAAGGAACTGAAGAAGAAACACTGAAGGCAAAGACATTCTAGGTTGTACAGTAATTGATTTAAACATCTTGGGGTTATAAAAATCAGGAGTCTTTGGGCTGTTCTACTAATGGCTTGTTAAATGAAAATGGCACTGAAAGTCACCCATGGTTCCTTTCCTTGTGCCTTTACCAGCATTTCACTTGAGTTATTGAACTCCCTTGGTGCTCTGCTGGCTATCCCCTGGGACTTAAATCCTTGAGAGACCAGTGGCAATCTCTGTCATCAGCCAACAAGTATCATTGGCATTTGGGAAAGGGGCACCTTAGGAGTATTCCTGGAGTAGGACTTCTTTAACTTGCCTAATAGACAAATCATCTCTTTTTCTAATTATCCACTTGAGGAAGGAGAAAATTGAACACGTTGAGTTTTGAGTTTCACCTCTCCAAATTTATGACCAACAAATTGTAATAATTTAGGTGTTTCAAATAGTGATTTTTTTTCTCAAATGTTGAGTGTTCTGACTCCAGTTAGGAAAAACTTGGAGATTCTTATCTTTCCAGTAGAATATACCTTAAAATATTTTGTTAAATTGGGCAAAAGATCTTTCTAATTCTGTTTACAACATGTGGTTAAGATTACAGAGAAGCTGCACAATGCCTGCTAGTGACGAATGATGGAGGGCCATAATCATGGGTGCCTTTTTAAACGAGTCATGTATCTGGATGTGGAAAACTGCTCTTAAATGTTCATAAAAAGATGAAAGTATGTATACCAGAAGAAAAGAAAGGGATAAAGATACTATTTCTTTGCTACAAAATGTTGTCTCTGTAGTGGATAGTTTTCTGTTTTCTGATATTTTGCCTTTAGAGGAGCCAGAAAAAAAAAGCTTTTTGAAACTAAAAAAAAAAAATCCACAAAAAGACAGTCTAGGTTGAACTTAGACTGCCCTTGTCCAATAATTGCATTGAAGTGCTTGGAGCAAGCTGCTTTGTTTGCAGAAAACTTGCAAATATATGTGAAGAAGTTTAACTGTGAAGTGTCACAGAGGATTGTCTACAAAGGAGAGCCTGCAGAATACTCTTGAATTGCTTGAAATCCTTTGGCTTTGAAATTTAATTCAACATTTACTTCTTGGAAATAACTTACTATATTCTTGATTATTTTAGTAAGCTTGTTACCTGTGATAAGAATGTGAGCTCCTTGAAAGCAGCAATTGTTTTATTCTGTGTATTTGTATCCTCAGCTTCTACAACAGAGCCTGGTACATAGTAAGCATTCAATAAACACTTGATTGATAATTGTGGAGGGGATAGCAGGGTAGGTACTTGTACTAATGGAAATTCTTAACCTTTTCCCAACAGGTTGGTACAACAGGCTTTTCATTAACTTTGTGCTAAGGAGGCATATTTTCTTTTTTGTCCTGCAATCCTATTTCCCAGCCATGCTGATGGTGATGTTGTCATGGGTTTCATTTTGGATTGATAGAAGAGCTGTTCCTGCCAGAGTTTCATTGGGTAAATTTTCATGAACCTTTGTGCAATATTAATGATTGCATAGGCAACTGAGAGAAAAGAAGGGGGAAGTAATTTGGGGTGGAATGCAGAGGTTGCTTAAATGTTTCTGTGTGGATCCTTCCTCTAGACAATGGTAATGACTGGCTGAGATTGAAATCAGTAATTAGCCCTAGGGGATGGGAGATGTTTGGAGATGCTTTTATTTATTTTTTTTTTGTTCATTTATTTGTTTATTTATTTATATGTATATACATGTATATATGTACATATATTCACACATACATTTATATGTATATACATACACACATTCATACATATATAATGGATAGAGGGGTAGTAAAAGAGAGAGAGAGAGAATATGTTAAGTGTTCCAAGCACTCTGCTAATTGCTAGAGATACAAATACAAAAAAGTAAGACAGTCCCTGCCTCAAAGAAGCTAATGGGAGAAGACAAAACATACAGAAGAACTAGAAAGGCGGAGGACAGGTGAGGCAGCATGGCATTGAGCAGCCAGGAAGTAGCTAGGAAAATACCTGAGCCTCAGAAAAATTATGCCAAGTTCACCTACCAGAGCCAAGTGGAATCCAGGTTATGGGTGGGCAGGAGGTGAAGGTGATAGTCTTGACAAGAAGAGCTGTGTGTGAAGCACTAGGGTAGCAGAGAAGTGATATACTGAGTTGTTCCCATATAATCAGGCATAACTCAACAAAGATAAGAAATAGGTCAAGTTTAGATTCGGCAATCCCATCTTTATCTTTTGCCTTTCTTTAACCTCCTTTTCTTCCTCTAGTTCATGCTGCCACGGATCTGGTCCCCCACTTCAAGGAAAAAGCTTTCTGATCAACTATGTAATACTAAGGGGTTTCTGACTCAATAAATCACCCCTCCCCAATGTGTTTGTTTTAAAAGGGTGTGTCAGGGGCAGCTGGGTGGTGCAGTGGATAGAGCACCAGCCCTGGAGTCAGGAGGACCTGAGTTCAAATTTGGCCTCAGACATATAATACTCCCTACCTGTGTGACTCTGGGCAAGTCACTTAACTCCAATTGCCTCACTTAAAAAAAAAAACAAAAGGAATGTCATAGAGAGATAATGTTTAGCGCAAAGAACTTTATTTATGATGGTAGAATTTCAGGTATTGTGGTATCTGAGTTAAGAGTCAGTTGGGAGCAAGGGGACTTTTTCAGTTCCTCTCAGAGTAGATAGAATACATAGAAAAATGATTATTCTATTGAATATGTTACTTGCTACTCTGAAACACATAGAATTACAAGAAAGATAGAAACTAAATTTCATTGTAATTCATGGACTTAAAAAACCAGGAGTAGAAGATCCAGATTAAGAAATGAAAGGAAGTTCAGACATCATCTAATCAAACTTCTCATTTTACAGTGCACAGATAATGCAACTAAGACCCAGAAAGGTTAAGTAATTTGCTCAAGGTTATACAAGTAGTAAATAGAAGAGCCAAGATTCAAACTCAAATCTCTCTGAATCTAGTACTATTTCTACTGTACCAAAAAGGGCCATCTTATTTCTACTAATTTTGTTCTTTCTCATATAATAGTAGGCTTAGACAGATTAAAATAAGTGGTTCATAATCATTATAACTAGTGTCTGACCTATGCCAGGAAGGGTGACATATAAGTTAAATGTTCATAAATTGTAGGCATCTTTCAAAAGATTATTAGGGTTATGCAGGCATACCTCAGCAATATTGTGGGTTCAGTTCAGATCACCACAATAAAATTAACATCACAATAAAATGAGTCACACAAATATTTTTTTGTGTCCCAGGGTACATAAAACTTATATTTATACTATAGTATAGCCTATGAAGTGTGCAATAGTATTGTCTAAAAAAAAAACAATGTGCATAACCTTAATTAAAAAATACTTTATTGCTAAAATAAAATACTAACCATTATCTGAGCCTTCAGTGAGTCATAATCTCTTTGCTGGTGGATGGTCTTGCCTTAATGTTCATGGCTACTGACTGATCAGGGTAATAGTTACTGAAGGTTGGGGTGGCTGTGTCAATTTCTTAAAAAAAGACAACAAATGAAGTTTGCCTCGTCAATTAACATTTCCTTTCACTTGAAAACTTAGAGGCCATTGTAGGGTCATTAACTGGCCTAATTTCAATATTGTTCTATCTGAGGTAATAGGGCTGCCCAAGGAGAGGGAGAGAGATGGAGAACAGCAGGTCAAGGAACAGTCAGAACATGCACAACATTTATTAAGTTCACCATCTCATATGAGTGTAGTTCGTGGTGCCCAAAAACAATTACTATAATAATATCAAAGATCACAGATCACCATAACATATGATAATAATAATGAAAAAGGTTTGAAATGTTGTGAGAATTACCAAACTGACACAGTCATGATGTGAGTACATGGTGTTGGAAAAAATGGTGCCAATAGACTTGCTCAGTGCAGGGTTGCCGCAAATCTCTGATTAGTAAAAAATGCAGCATCTGTAAAGCATAATAAAGAGAAGCACAATAAAACAAGGTATAAAGGTATTATTATTATTATTATCCTTTATCATTATTGTTCCTCCACTACACAACTACTGTAATACCTCACTGTGGTACTCAGATGATCCTGGGTCCTTCAAGGCTGTGTCTCAGAGCACAAGCTCTGGGGGACCCTACTAGATTGCTGGCTTCAGGTATGGACTTGATCACAGACTATATGTCTATGTCCTCTATCTAAAGAACAGCTAAGCTAAATTTGCAAAGGCTATTCAGGTCAGCTTCAATGGGACAAATTTGTCAGCCCCAGCAATTCTCAGAGATCATTCCCTAAGTCATAGAGGAGCTGTGACAAGTCCGTATAAGGAAGGAAGAAGGAGGAAAGGGAAGAAAAGGGAGAAAGGTTTTAAATAGTGCCTACTATGTGCTAAACTGTGCAAAGCACTGTGTTAAGTGTTTTATATAGTGCCTACTATGTGCTAAACTGTGTAAAGCACTGTGTTAAGTGTTTTACACATATTATCTCATTTGGTCCTCACACCAACTCTGAAATGTGCCTTTTATTATTCCCATTTTATAATTGAGGAAACTGAGATGATGTAGAGGTTAGGGAACTTGCCCAGCATCACACAGTCAATAAATATCTGTGGCTGGATGTGAATTAGATGTGAGCTGGATGGAGTCTTCCTGACTCCAGTCTAGCAATATCAATTCTGACCTATATGATAAAGCTCTTTTCTTTCTTTTTTGAGACAATCAAGGTTAAGTGACTTGTCCAGGGTCACACAGCTAATGTCTAAGGCTGAATTTGAACTTAGATCCTCCTGACTCCAGAGGCTCTGCTCTATCCACTGTACCACCTAATTGCCCCAAGCTCCTTTCTTAAAATATGTCACCTACTAATATGTAGTAAAAAGAACTGTTACAATTAATTTGCAACTGTATTCTTCCTGGCATACATATATATGAGGCTTCTGGACTATCTGACAACTGCTTAAGGATGTTTTAAATTCTTGCTCTGGGCGTGTCATTTAACCTCCTAGAACCTCAACATTCTGCACTGTAAAAAATGACAGGATTGTATTAGATAGGCTCTAAGCCTTCTGACTTTAAATATATGACCCTATTAGCCTAAATATCCTTGTGATTTGGGGAAGTATTATATTTCCTGCCTTCATAGTACAGTCAGCTGCTTCATTGTGTCTCATCATCATCATCATCATCATCATCATCATCATCATCACAACATCTATATAGCACTTACTATGTGCCAGGTGCTGTACCAAGAGCTTTATAATTATTTTTTCATTTGATCCTCACAATAGTCCTGGAAGGTAGGTATGCATTTTTACAGATGTGCCCATTTTACAGATGAGGAAACTGAGGCAAACAGAGGTTAAGTGACTTGCCCAAGGTCACACAATGAATAAGTGTCTGAGGTCAGATTTGAACTCAGGTCTTCCTGACTCTAGGCCCAGCTCTCTATCCACTGTTCCACAGTAGCTACCAAGACTGGGTTGTACACAGCATAGTAGTAGAAGCTTCTCAGTTTGCAGCCACTCACAAATTAAAGTATGCATCCTGGCTAACATAGATGCAATTCTTTCCCTCGACTGGCATCCAGCTTACCTCCCCCCATCTACTTATATTTGTGACCAGAGGAGATAATATTTGGGAAACTAGAGCTGGGCTTTTTATCCACCCTTCATATTTATAAATGCATACAATTGAAAGGAGTCAATAAACTTAATTATGCCTAGATATTCAATAAGGTTTCGGGCAACCTGTCTGTGTAAAGAAAGGTGCAGGGTTCTGAAGAGACAAGAGAGGGATGTCTACTTCACTTTCCCTTCCCCATACACATATAGCCCTCACTTCCTTCCAAGCCTATAGGAGGAAAAGGTTATATTCATTTCAAAGTGAGCATTGAGTTTTTCTTTTCTTTTGTTTTTCCCCTCTGATAAACCTGTCTAAGGTTGAAGCAAATCTCTGGGGCAGGTGGATCATCAGAGATGTTTCCCAGCTACACATAATAGACTAGAACAAATTTTTATCAGACCAGAAAACTTTTTCTACCAAAGGTTCTGATTTCTTGAAACCTTGTAAACTTATTAATCAACTTCTTTTACATCTCTGTTGCCTTTAATTCTGCTTCTCCTGTATCCCAGATCTCTTCTTGGTTCCTGTTCCTCCCCCATAGACATATTAGATGGAGGGTTATAAGAAGCAGAGTGATCTGAGGTTTAAAAAAAAAGTACAGTTAACCCTTCCACATTGCGACTTTCCCCATTCAGTTTGGCCATATAGTGGATCAGGATAAGAAATTAAATGGGAATTTTGGGGGAGTTTTGAGGAAGCCACAGGCAACACACAAAGCCCAGCAGATGACACAGAAAAAGTTTAGAAACTCAAAAATGGATAAAATATGAGTATAGTATTATATAATATTAATACATTTTACCTTGTAATACCATAATAATTCAGACTTCTCAGGTACAAAGGGAGGATCAAAATATTTTACACAGATTTTCCAGGTTGTGGGGCAAGGAGTGTCCCTAACCCCTATGATGTGGAAAGGATAACTATAAATGTTTTTACTTATCAATCAGCTACAACAGCTAGAGCAAAGGCACTGAGAAGAGAAATGGAGTATCACGTATGAGGAACAGAAAAGCTAGTTTGACTAGGTCATAGAGGATATACAATGAGGCTAGGTTGAGGCCCAGGTTGTGAAGAGCTTTGAATGACAAATGGAAGAGTTTCTGTTTGCTCTCAGAGGTAATGGGTTGGGAAATAATGCTATGACTCGGCACAGTTCAGCCACATTCCAGACCTTCTGAATTCTGTATGACTAAAGTAGGCAGGAGATTTGCATTTCATTTTCTTCATTCTTCATTCATTCTTATTAGGCATTATCACACTATTTTATAGAGATGAAAACTAAGGCACAGAAAGGTTGTGAAAGCCTATGGTCATGTGGCTGGGAAGTGTCAGAGGTAGGATTAGAATCCAGGTCTTCTTGACTCCAATACTCCATCCACTAGAGAAGACAAAGCTATAGCCCAAATGACTTGACTTTTACAAAATACTTTTACCAAACACATTTTAAGTGAATTGGAAACATAGTTTCTGATCCTGAGAGAAAACCTTTCTTCAGTATATGGTCAGCTTGGATCATTCAAAATTCTTTTGATGGGAGATTAACTTCAATGGCTTTGAAAGGAATACTATTTTTCAAGATTAATGTATCTCTAAGAAGTGGCTAGAGACCCGTAAGCATGTCTAATGGAGCTATAATGTTTTCAAGCCCTAGACCTATTGCTCTAGGAATCTATATTTGGGTGCTCTCATAATTCATTATAATAACAGTAATAGAGTAGTAGTAGTAGTAGTAGTAGTAGTAGTAGTAGTAGTAGTAGTAGTAGTAGTAGTAGTAGTAGTAGTAGTAGTAGTAGTAGTAGTAGCAGCAGCATCCCCTTATTCTCTCCTCCCTGCTCATCTAATTCATCTTTAATAACTTTTGGGAAAAGGAAGTGGGGCTACGACCTGGAACGCTAATTTAAAATAAATATGTACATTTAAGCCAACATAAATGGGTTGATTTAAGCACCCTTACAAAAGAAAATGACTGCACCTTCATTGATCTCTGGGAGATGTAGATAATGCCATTTCTTTTACTGGACCAATTCTCATTAATTTATAACACATGAGACAAGACTTCTCTAAGTGGAAGCTTCTATATTGTAAACCATTCATTTGCCCATTGAGAATTATATTACAAGCCATTAAAAATAAGGAGGCAGCATGATGTGCATAGAGAGTGGTCCTTGGAATTAAGAAGGCCTAACTTCAAATTCTGCCCCTAATTAATACCAAGTGGTGCTGAGAAAGCCTCTTAGCCTCTCAATGGTCCCAGGAAACTCCTGGAACTTTCTACTAGGGAATAGGTGCTGATCATACTGACAGAGAAGTTTCCTTAAGCTTAAGCTTCTTTCACCAATGAAATCACAGATCTGGGTAAAACAAACAAAATTGTGTGTGTGTGTGTGTGTGTGTGTGTGTATGTGTGTGTGTAAATGTGTGAAGCAAAGGATTTAGTTGCCCTATAATGCTTATTCCTACCTGAAAGAAGGAAAATAAGGTCCAGATGGAGACCGAGCCAGCCAACAGCAGAGATTGAAATGTCGGTCAGTTTCCCTACTCTTCTGCTCTGAGCATGTTAGTGAAAAAGAACCTGGGGAAAATACTATGACCATTTGCAAGTTTTATATTACATAAATTGTGTTGTGTTGTCATTGCTGTGTTGAGATGGCTAGGTGGCATAGTGGACAGAGAAACAGACTTAGAGTCAGGAAAAACTAAGTTCAAATCCTGCCTTACGTACTTAACTAACTGTGTGACCTTGAGCAAGTCACTTAACTTTTTCTCAGTTTCGATTTCTTTCTCTATAAAATGGGCATAATAATAGCATCTACCTCTCAAGGTTGTTGTGAGAACCAAAGGAAATAACACGTGAAGTATTTTGCAAATCTTGAAGTGCTACATAAATGCTTATTGTGATACCTGAAGATTGTTTTTCTTTGTTGAATAGTGCCTGGCTCTAGTAGATGTTTAGTAAATGCTTGTTGACGTGACAGATTTCTTGGGATTCCATGGCCAATGAATCTGCCACCTGGCAGTCAGCTAGTTGGTGATGGGATTCTCAGATGCTTAGTTGGGCTTATTCTTAGACAACAGACAGATCACTTGGACTGTGCTCAAAGTCTTTACAGAGTGATAAAACCTACAAAAGCTCATGCTTCACCAGAGCAGCCTTCAAGGATGTTGGGTCACTAGTGTACCATGATAATGAGAGAATTGAGCTTTGGGTTTGGGGATTTGGGGTTTTTGGTTTTGTGTGGTGGTGGTGGTGTTTTGGTTTGGTTTTTTGAAAAAAAAATGAGGAAGTAAAAAATTGGAAAACTGCAATGGGTTTATACAGATACTTTTGTTTTCAATGTGTGACTTAAATGAATGGAAATCTCACAGAACTGTTTTGAGGGGCAGAAGTGACACAAGTGAGTAGTGGCCATTGATATTCATGTTGAATCTGTGCAGTTAGGGTTTATTCTGCTATTTGGATTTCATACTACTTGAAAAATCACTAAAGATCCCATTTGTACTTTCTTCATGGAGATTTAATACTTTAAAATATGCCAGCCAGAATCTAATCAAATAATTACTGTGTAACACAAATACTCAGAAAATGTTATTTATATTTTAAGTATAAATTATTGATGTTGGTTGTTGAGACCCTCTTCCCGTGACATGTGGATTAATTGAAATGACTGAGCAAACAAAGGTTCAAGCTTCCAAGCATACCAGTTTATTAAATGATGGATGCCCATTTGCACAGCAAATCTGGACCAGGCCCACAGATTGGCACTGGACCTTGAATATAGGAGGGGACATATTTTTGTGCATTAAAAGAAAACAATTAACTGAATATAAATCAGGATACAATGGCAGGTAACCTGATTTTTAATTAGAAGAAAGATTAAAGGCTTTCCAAGTTGGGAGAGAGAAGACTGAGTGAACAGGTGCAATTCCCTGAAATAAGAAAAAGAAGTGTCCCATTACCCCTCCCCCTCACCAATGTCTATATTCATTCAAAGGAACAAGGAAACAGCAACTGACTGACCAGTAAAGGGTCATTCTTCAGATAAGACATGTGAGTTGCTTGAGTTGAATAATTGTGAACAAACTCCTTGCATCTTTAGATCTGACTGAGTTTCTGGTCAGCATAGCCTAGGTCCTTAGTTAAGGGTTTCTCAGCAACAGGTAGAGGTGGTCCAGCTTCCCAGCCACACAGGGTTGGGTTCGAACAATACAAATAAAGTTTTCTCACAATTCCCATAATTGAACAAAGTTTTCTCACAAGACAGAAATTGGACTAGACCCATAATTATATAGAAAAGTAACTGAGCTAAATTCAGAATTTAATCACAAGGTGAAGTCATTGTGGTTCACTCAATTTCCACAATTCCCTCACTTCCCAAACATATCTCACACACACACACACACACACACACACACACACACACACACACACATGCATTCACTGTAATCTACCTTTTCAGTTTTATCTCATGTTGTTCTGTCGTGGCCAACTCTTTGTGACCCTGTGGACCATAACATTTCATTGCTGTCCATGGGATTTCCTTAGCAAAGATACTAGAATGGTTTGCCATTTCCTTCTCCAGTGGATTAAGGAAAACAGAGGTTAAGTAAGTTGCCCAGAGTCACAGAGCTAGCAAGTGTTTGAGGCCGGATTTGAACTCACATCTTCCTGACTTCAGGGCCAACACCCCATCCACTGAGTCATCTTGCTGTCTCTATCTCATACCACTTCCTTTAATAAAGTCTGTTTAACAACCAAATTGGAGACATTTCATCCTTCCATTCTAATCCTGACATCTCCTTTATCCATAGCTTTGTTCACACTGACCCTTGAAGCCTTTAATGGCAACATACTCATCACTTTCCTTCCTTCATGGCCCATTTAAAGCCATTTAAGCCTTCTCTGACATCCCTTGACCCCAGGTGACTGACTTTTCCAGCTGCAAATTTCTCATTTCATTTTATTTGACCTCCTTCATACTTTTCAAACTTTTACTCATATCATAGTTATTTGTGTAGGTGTCTTCCCATCCCCATTTCTTAATAACTTACTTGAAAGCAGCTTCTCTGTGGTAACTATTCCTAAATCCCTAGTACCTAGCTAATCATCCTGATCAAGAGAAGTGAGGGAAAAGGACGGCAAAAGAGAACAAGAGATAAGTAAAGAGAGGCAGAAAGATCTTGAATTTAGATTTAATTAAAATGCATGCTTTAAAATTTGCTCAAACTTGTTTTTAGCTGTTATTTTACTTATTATTTAGTTATTACTGCTTTGATGTTAAAACTGTCAGGCTATAAACAAGAAATTGGTTACTTGGATTCATCCTGTATAAGGTTCAAGAGTTTCTATTATTACTTACTGTAAAAGTGCTGAATTTAAGGTAAGAGCACCTCAATTTAAAAACTGGCATGTGACTTTGAACATATTACTGTACCTTTCATTGCCTCAGTTTCTTCATCTGAAAAATGACTGGAAGATTTCTAAGGTCCTTTTCAGCTCTGAATCTAAGATAAGGAACAAGGAAATACAATTTATGTAGTGCCAGGCATTTTGCAAATATTATTTCTCCCTGCAAGATAGGTCCCTTATTAGCCCCATTTTATAGTTAAGGAAATTAAGGCTGAGAGAAGTGAAAAGACTTGCCCAGGCACATAGCAAGAAAGTGTCTGAGGTCAGACTCAAACTCAGGTCTTCCTGACCGCAGGCCCAGCACTCCCTCTGTCCCCTGCACCACCTAGTTGGCTTGGATACTATGACCTTACTTCAGTGGATTTACAATTCATTCTCCTTGACTTGGCAGGTATAACCACTGTGCTGACAATGTCCACTGTTATCACTGGAGCCAGTGCCTCGACGCCTCAGGTGTCTTACATCAAAGCTGTGGATATTTACTTATGGGTCAGTTTTCTCTTTGTGTTCCTGCCCGTCATTGAGTACGCAGCAGTGAATTACCTCACCACGGTAGAAGAAAGAAAGCAATTTAAAAAGAGGGGCAAGGTATAGCCTCATATATTTGTTTTTCCTGTGTAATTCTTTTTGGGAAAGTCCAGTGTCACATCCAAACTCTGATTGACATCATGTTGACAACAATATGCCTTTGTTCTATCACATTCCTTCACAAAGTACAAGTTTATAGAGTTAGGAAAATACATTGAGGCCCATCGCTGATATAAGGATACACTAGGAGTCTTTAATATCCTGGTTTGATCAGAGAGGATTACTCTTCCCTCATCCATGAACAATCCACGTCTTGAAATGTGTCCTGGAGTAGAAGTGGAAAAGCTGGCTAACGTATAAATAGTAAATCCAGTTTCATTCTTCTAATGGATCAGTGTCCTTGGGGCTTATAGTGAACATAGAGATTTTAAAATTAAAACCGTAGACCAGGAACTGGATAGTACTTCAGAAGCCATCGTCCTCATTTTGCCAGTGAAGAAACTAAGGCCAAAGGAGGTAAAAGGACTTACCCAAGGTCACAGAAGTAGTAAGTTAAAGTGGGATCGGAACCTGACTGCAGATTCAATACCCTGTCCACTGAATAGAGAGCACCAGACCTGCAGTCAGGAAGACTGATCTTCTTGAATTCAAATTTGGCTCAGACACTTGCCAGCTGTGTGACCCTGGGCAAGTTCCTTAACCCTCTTTGCCTCAGTTTCTTCATCTGTAAAATGAGCTGGAGAAGGCAATGGCAAACCACTCCAGTATCTTTGCCAATAAAACCCCAAATGGGGTCCCAAAGAGTCAGTACACCACTGAAATGACTGAACAATAACCCCTGAATTTTGTCTTCTCTTCATTGCGTACAAAGAAGATAATCAGCTTCTGTGCTCAAAGGAGAATAATCAAGCCATTTGAATGGATTAGCCATCTCACCTCTTTCTCTTTTTATAGCAACTTATAAATTTGGAGAATCATAGACAGAGATCTGGAAAGGACTCTCAAAGTTGTCTAATCCAAACGGGGACTTTATCAGATAAGGAAACAGAAGCACAGAAAGCTTAAGTGACCTGCCCGATGTTACCCAAGTTGCAAGAGGCAAAGCCAGGATCATGACCCTATAACTTCTCTAAAACTCAACCAGCTACTTTAAGATAGATGGTCATTTTCCATGGCTTACCTGATGAAGCATAGATGTACAGTAAATTAGAACAATGGATTTGGAGTCAACAGATGTGGATTTAAATCCTGCCTCTGATACTTGTTACGGGAAACCATGAGAAAGTCTCCTAACATCTTTGGGCCTCAGTTTGCTCATCTGTAAAAATGAAGGTAATAAGGTAATAAGTAGAAGGTAATAAGGCATAAATCCCATGAAATGTCAAATGGGTTACTGCTGCCATTTCTATTCCATTGCCAAAAGAGTTAGTGTGTATAGGTTTGCGTCTGTTGGAGGTTGAGGGAAGGGTCATACAAATAATTTGTGAGCTTAGAAATTGAAGAGAAATTATGTAAATGACAATTTGCCTTCATATAGAAATTCAGTTTTCACAATACTTTCCTGACAATAAATACCTCTGTGAGGAAGGTTAAGAAAGTTTCACTAGCCCCATTTTGCAAATGAGGAAACCAAAATCTCTTAAAGGCTAAGTGACTTGGCGATCTAGGGATCACACACCTAATAAGATTCTTCAATAAGATTTGAACTCAGGTTTACCAGAGTCCAAGCCTAGTACACTACCTGTTACATCGTAATACTTATGGAATACAGAAACAGCTGACTCAAGGTACAGACTCCCAGGCAACTGAATTCAACCTAATTTAATTCAGTAAATATGTATCAAATGCCTCTGATCTTCAAGACACGGTGCTGTGTGTCGTAGAAGGTATAAAGGCATATCAAGACCTACCCTCAAGTGACTTATAATTTAACAGGATTGGGGAGGGTTATGTATGTTCAGTTGTGTCTGAGTCTTTGTGTCCCCATTTTGGGTTTTTCTTGGCAAAGATACTGGAGTGGTTTGCCATTGCCTTCTACAGCTCATTTTACAGATGAGGAAACTGAGGCAAACAAGGTGAAGGGCCTTGCCCAGGGTCACACAGCCAGTAAGTGTCTGAGGTCAGATCTGAATTCATGAATATGAATCTTTCTGATTCCAAGTTCAGTGTGCTCTATCCATTATGCCACCTAGCTGCCCCTAATGAAAGTACCATGCTAAAATGCAAGATAACACTAGTAATAACAATATCTAACATTTACATAGCACTTTAAGGTTTGCAAGAATTTTCCAAATATTATCTTATTTTATTCTCTCAGCAACCCAGAGAGATTAAGTACTGTTGTTATCCCTACAGGTTAAACAACTTGCCCAGGGTCTCACAGCTAGTAAGGATGTGAGAGCTGGATTTGAACTCAGGGCTTCCTGACTCCAGGTCCAGCACTCTAGCCAGTGTGCCACATTGCTGCCTCTGTAGTGGTGGTCCATAAGAGGAATTAAGGAAGCAAGATGTTGAGAGGGAGTGTGGAAGGGCCATGTCAGTGCTAAGTGGATTAGTGCTAAAGGGGCAGCAAAGCTGATCTGTTGTTCTACATCTCAAAAATATCTTCCCAAACACTGCCTGAATTTTTTACTTTACTTTATTCTACTACCTGAAATTTCACCAACCACAGATTCATTTGAACTAGCATGAATATTCTTAAAAAAAAAAAAAAGCAAATGCCTCTGGGACAGTTGGGCTTTCAGTCATTCATACTTTAGTGATCATTAACATAGTTAGATCTCTTTCTGCCTAACAGCATTGAGATTAGCAGTGCTGAGGGAATACAGGTTTTATTTTAGGCATGTTTGTGGTTATATATGTGTACATATGTACGTAAATATATGTATGTATGTATGTATGTATGTATGTATGTATGTGAATACACACGTTTCTTCTTAAGAGAGTAGTAGGTCCTTGAGAGCACTGTTGCCTAAATCATTGCCTTGCCCATAGATGACATTTCAAAAATGTTCAATGTATGCCCCTATTAGAACATAAGCTCCTTATGAGTTTTTCATTCTTAGTATTTTATCTCATTAATTTAGCAAATTTTGTGATAGGAGAAATGGTTGGTTTTATACAATTCAGTTCTTGGGAGTGAGAAGTAGGGCAGGTATAGTTATGGTGTTTCAGTAAGGGATTTAGGAAGGGAGAAAGGGATGAGAGGCTAGAGGAAAAGGAAAAAAAAAGTTTGTCAAAGACAAATTACCTGTTTCCAAATTTAGCTTTTGAGGAAGGGAAACTTTCTTGCTTCTCAATTTATTATTGTCATTTTTTGGTCATGTGTGTGACTCTTCATTGACCCTATTTGGGATTTTCTTGGCAAAGATACTGGAGTGGTTTGTCATTTCCTTCTCCAGCTCATTTTACAGATGAGGAAACTGAGACAAACAGTGTTAAGTGACTTGCCTAGGGTCACAGCTGGTAAGTGTCTGAGGCCAGATCTGAATTCATGAAGGTGAACCTTCCTGATTGCAAGCCCAGTGCTCCTAACTTGACGTCTCCTCCAAGGATCCAGGATTCAGTTCAGTACTAATGACGTCAAAATCTTGAGATTCTTTCCAAAGGATGTTGTCCAACTAAGTTGCCCCTGTGTTATACATGTGAAGTTTTGGGGTCTTTTTTAATCTCAGTAGAAAATTTAACATTTATTCCAATTAAATTTCATCTTATTGAATTCAGGCCAACCTTGGCCTGTCAAGATCTATTTGGATCCTCATTCAGTTATCCAACATATTTCCTATCCCTCTCAGTTCTATATCATCTACAAATCTGATAAATAAGGTACTCATAGGTGAGAACCCTTTCATTTAGAGGTGGGAAAAATCATGAGAATTTACTATATAAAGCTGGCAGGAGGCTGCAATAGATCAATGTCAAATGGCAGTAATATAAGCTCATGTAATATTTTTTAAAGTTATAAAAATTCTCCATAGAAATGACTATTTGCCTTCTCAAAAAATCCCTGTGAGAAAAAAAAATCAACTATAACAACTATTCCCATTTGACAGGGAAGGAAAATGAGGCTCCACAGTAGTAAAATAACTTGTTTATATCACAAATAAAAATCAGTGATTGAAACATATTCCTTCAAAAAGAGCCCAGATTTCTTTCAATTAAGCAAAATTGTGTTGAATGTAATAAACAATAAGTCAATAAATCCTTAATTATTGATTAAAAGTCACTTTTTTATCTATGGAACTGCCCCATGTATTTGTTTGCTCCATTTTATAACTTTTTTTTTTCAGATTTCTGGAATGTATAACATTGAGGCAGTACAAGCAATGGCATTTGATGGTTGTTACCATGACAGCGAGACTGATGTTGACCCGCCCCCCTTTTCTATACATTCAGAAGAGTATTCAGTAAACAGCAAAAACCCTGACAACCCCACCACTGATTCAGCTCAGCTGAAGAGGAAGAAGTCTTTGAGAGGCAATGTTGGCAAAATCATTCTTAAGAAGAATCATGTCATTGACACATATTCTAGGATTGTTTTTCCTGCAACGTTTATTGTATTTAATTTTTTTTATTGGGGCTTCTATGTATGAACAGAGATTACCAAGCACCAATTTGTGTTTACCAGAGGAATTAACAGAAATGGAAAAGAGGGAGTTGCCCCAGTCCCCCTGGATTGGAGAGGCCCCAACATTACATTTGGAATGTATAATGGATATGTTTATATCTGTAGCACCCAGGGACCCTCTCACCTGTGGACCTCCAGAGAGCTACCCCAGGTCTAGGCACGTTGTGGATCAGAATCATCTCTATACTGTTGTCCATAAGCCCCCAATGGTATATTTACTTTTAATAGTCTGCCATAGGACATACTTCATTCAAAGCAAAGACATTTAAGGAAATAACATACTAATAAAATAATGTTCTTCTCGTAAACTTAAATCTCACTCTCCCACAAATGTATACCCTTACTAAGAAGAGTAGACGTGTAGAAAGTACATACAATACTGATTACCATGGCCCCTACCACCTGAAGGTCAGGTATGTTACATTTCACTTCTCCCCCAGGGTTCTCTGGTACCTTTAAGGAGGTTTGAGATATCCAGATTCTCTCTCACTGACTTCAATCTATGCTAATGGTGTTTCTTCAAGTGTAATGGAGTCCCCCGAGCCCCAATTCCACTTAGCCACTAATAGTTGGATTAGCTTTTACAAAGCAATATTTACTTTAAAGGTATAACAACAAATACATAGATATAGCCTCTAACACATGGGGCATAATCTATCCTCTCCTCCCCACTCCCATTCCACCCTATACCTCCTCAGTCTCTGCAGAGAAGAGGATTAATTTCATAGCTTATTTCACTTCTTATATAGCAAAATCCCATTTCCAATTCCAAAACTCACCTAGACCTTGAGTCTCAAGTACCCTGGCTTCTCAAGACTTCCCTGCCAAGCTGACTAGCTACAAGGATTCCCCCTGGAATCCTAATCCCAGGGCTGTCATAGCTCAAACTCCTGGATCTATAGTGATTACCACGTGCACCTGAAACTGAGGGAAAGTGAAACAAAACAAAAACAGAAACTCCCAAAGCCACAGGCCTAGAAAGAGAAACAGACCTTCCATCCTCACCAATTCAGTCAAAAATGCACCAGCACTTAAGAGTTAACCTTCACCTACAAAGGAAAAAGAGTGCACAGAAAAAAAAAATAGGAAAAGAAAAGAAAAAAGAGTGAGACTTTCCCAGCTTGGCATTTTTAAAGACACACCATGTTCTGGCTTTACAACTCATCAAGTGAAGCAAGTAGAAACATGCATGTAGTAGAACAGAGGATATCTTCTCAGAGGCAGATATCCAGGCATTTTCTAAGTACTGCCTCCATTTTGGGTGATCTGGAAATGCTCAAAGTCCCCCTTACACACATAGGACATACAAATTCAGGAAACCTGTGCTCAAGGTAGACATAAAAAGACCTCTCATGCCTTAGATACTGCAAGGCAACCAATGTCTTTTTATTGACACCATCATATTGCACTATACTGGGCCTGTTTTCCATTTGAAATTGTACTCAGCTGCTCCATGCTAGGAGTCACATCTTCACTTCTCCCCAGAAACCTAACATTTCCACTCCTCCTTGCCAGTCTCCAATTGTTGAACTATCTTCAGGTCCACCTAATACTATTTCCACCACCCACTGTGGGGATCCATGGTTAGTAAGCCTCTCTACTGAAGAACAGTGCTAAAACTCTTTCAGCCAGATCTTTCAGTCAATGGCATGAACTACTTCCTTCTCAATCAAGTCATATCACATAGCAGATACCCAGGATAGAATTACATCTTGCTAAGCACTGAGGATACAAATCTGTTCTTTTTATTATCTCTGCTATCTCCTCTGACATTATTATTTCATCTTTCATTTGCCTTAAGGTTGGCCAGAAGCCCACTTTAATTCTTAAATATTTTCATACTCTTTTGTCTGGGCAAATATTCACAAGACTATGTTTCCAAAAAAGACCAGAGGGAAACTGTGAGGAGGGAATTGTTTTTAACACCACCCCCACTCCCACCCCCCAATGCACCTCTGTTCCTTGCAAATCACAAGGGCTAGATTGGTTAGAAAAGACTGAAAAGGTTGGGGATTTCCATCCCACATTCCTCAACAACAAATCACAGCCTCATATGCGTGTATATATGTGTATATATCTACATATATAAATATATACATACACGCATATAGAGACATATGGGTATATGTATATAGAGAGAGATGTGTGTATATAGAGAGAGAAGGAATGCCCTGAGGGGAAGGAAGGAAGGAAGGAAGGGAAGCAAACAGGTATTCATTAAGTATCTACTTTGTACTAAGAGCTTTCCAAATATCTCATTTGACCAGGAGGTAGGTGCTATTATTATCTCATTTTTACAATTGAAGGAAATTGAGACAGACAAAGGTTAAGTGACTTTCCTAGGGGCACATGGCTAATAAGTATCTGCAGCTGAATTTAAACTCATTTAGGCCCAGCTCACTATCCACTGGGCTTCCTGGCTGCCAAAGGGAGGAGAGGAATAGACTTAATCATAGTAATCACACCTAAGAGGACTAAGACATCAGGAAGGTGATGTCATGACTTGCAAATGAATTGGATTTAAGTGAGGGAGGGTTGTGCAAAGTCACCAGCCTCACTCTCTCCTTTGGAGTCATCCTGGTGCAGTGGCAAGATATAGATCAGGATGACAGGAGATGCCTTGACATTTTTGAGCAAAGGTCTTTCTCAGGTCTCAGTTTGTCTGAGGCAACACCCACTCAGTGATTAAGGCTAGGTAAGAAATGAGGCAAAGAACATCCTCTTTTACCTAGTCAAGAAAAAAATCAATCTGAGAGGGGAAGACTTTCAGGGTTTCTGGCCCAAACAGTAATAATTGCTATTTACACTCACTCTGAACAACCTTCCCAGAAGCCTAAAGGAGTAGCTTTGAAAGTTAACAAATTTAATGACAGAAAATAATCTGGATATGGAGAGAATTTGGCTTAACAATTAAAAATAACAGGAAAATAAATTTCTGGGGGAAAATATATATATTTCAATGTACACTGGATTCAAACACTCTCTTCATATTTCCTCAGTATAAGTTCTATAGCTAATGAGGGATCCACTGATGCTAAATGCTGCAAATAAAAAGGTACTTATTTCTTGGAATTTAGTGAGCATGTCAGTTTGTCCACCAGAGAGCTTCGTCTTCTCAAGATGGCAGACAGGGAAGAGTTTCTCTACTGCAGTGTGGTGAGTACATTCACTAGACTGAATTACATTTTAAGGGAGGTCTTGGATCCCATATCTACCTCAAATCTACTCAGAAGTATCTTCTTACTTCACCACCTTCTTTTAAATGACCAAGCAAATGTGTGTTACACCCTACAATCTTGGAAGATCCATCAATATTTTGTAGATAAAGTATACCTCTGATACTTGTGTTTGAAATCAAACTACCAAAGTCATTGTTCTAATGGAGACTCAAAGATAAGAGAAAAAACAAAAACAAAAAAAGGAGCAATCATCCTTAAAAAAATGAAATACAGCTAGCCTATGGCACCTGTGATTGCCTTTGATCAAAACCTTAGTCTCTTTGGTAGAATCAAGCAAATCAGGGCAACAGGGTATTAAAGAAATGTTCATTTAGGAGAAAATCTCAAATGATCAACATTCACTTCCCAAATTGAAAGATGTTCCTGTTTTCTGTGATGGTAATTTTATAAAATAGATTGAACACAAAACCCAGTGCTTGTTAGGCTGGGTGAAGTGTTCTGCTGACGTTCCTGGTGGGGGATTTGAGGAAAGGGAATAAAATTAAAAGTATGAACCTTTCCAACTTGGTTTTTGTTTTCATGTGATCTTTTCAAAGAATGACCATTAAATTAATTAAAATGATTAGGGGATTCTTTTTTGGGACACCATAAAGAGAGAAAGAAGCAATTTTCTATATGTTTACCTTCCTAATAATAAGCCTGTTTTTGCCTATGAATAAAAGAGAGGATTAGCAATGTATATGTCTGGGTGAAGAAGAGAAAAACAATCCTCCCTTTTCTTACGCTCCTCATTCCTTTTTTCTGGACAGGTTTATGATGATCCACGTTCAACCTACTTTGAACAACATCTGTAATTTATGCAAAAGTATTCTAAATATTAGCATCTACAGAAAATAATTGAAAGTTGAGCCAAAATAATTACTCTAACTCTCCAAGACTATAAACTGTGTAACAGTTAGCAATCTGCATTGGTGAAGGGAGATTCCTAACTGGGATTCCTTATATCAATAAAATCACAAGTCACCCTCCCCCTTAAAAAAAATTTTTTTAAACCAAAAACCTTTCCCCATCTTATTGTGGTTTGACATTTTCCCGTAACTTTTTAAAGCTTGATTTGATGGTGATAGAAATTTATTTGGATTATGATTTCAAAATATTGTACCAAATTAATATACTAGGTGGGTCTTTGGGAAATTCTTGTTAGCAAACTGCTCACTAAAGCTGGATTAAAGTCTGTGGTTTTGATTCCTTTTAAAGTTGAGTCTAGAAATGTGCTATAGGGGATTTTAAAAAAATCTACATTATTTTTCCTACCCTTTTTCCCCTTGTTCTGAAGCTAGTGCCTTAAGCTTTTCTAATTTCTAATTTTCTAATTTTTTTGTCACAACTTTCAGAATGTATACTTCCCTTAAACATTGTCCTTTTGCAGCATTAAAAACATATCACTTCTTACATCTGGCAGTCCAAATGAATGAATGTCTATCATACTAAGCATATACTCTGTATGCTCCTAAGAAGCATTGAAATGGATTTTGTTAATTTATCTTTTTTAAAGTCATATCCCATTTTTCTATAATAAATGTCCAGCATTAAATGTCGAAAAAACTCAGGGAATCACCACTGCATTCAAAAGGAGCTCATAGGCCTTTAGTTAATTTCCTTCTGTCATTAGCTATCTCTTCCTCAGCCTTGAGGTAAGGAAACAAGCATTTGTTAAATGCTTATGTGCCAAGCACTGTATTAAGTGCTTTAAAAACATTACCTCAAGGGGCAGCTAGGTGGCACA